TGAGTTAATGTCTATTGGGAATTCTGCTCTCAGGAGGAAAGAGCCATGACCCGTAGAGAGGCAATGGCTATCTGGGAGCGTGAACATCCCTGGGACAAAGTGTCCTGGTGGCTGATGTTAAGTTTCCTAATCAAGATCCCCGATGGGATAACTACTCCCAGAGCAATGAGAAAATATAGGGGACTTGAGAGATTCAATGATGAGGGGATAATCGGGGAGGTGATGAACACAACCATTAGCTTTATAAATTTCCTGGGAAGCCAGGGACTTCGTATTTCAAAGAATAAGTTACAGTTTGCTGAGGCTGAAGTAAAATATCAGACATTTGATCAGTAAGGGCCCAAGGGATGGGTCCAGAAAGAACAGAAGGAACCACTGGTCTCCCGCTCTCAGGAACCAAACAAGAATTAAGAAAGTTCCTTGGCTTAGTGGGATACTGCTGGTTACAGATAGACACATATGCCCTTAAAACTAAATCTTCACATCTCAAATTGACCCAAGAGGCACCAGACCCCTCCTTTGGACCCCCGAGGAGATAAAAACAAGCAGATGAGCTAAAACAAGCCCTATCACAGCCCCAGTGCTAGCCTTGCCCTCTCGTGAACAGCCTTTCACCTCTTTGTAAATGTAAACAAGGGGGTTGCCCTTGGGGTGCTAACCCAAAAACATGGGGGTCAACGTCAACCTGTGGCTTTCTTATCTAAATTCCTAGAACCTGTCATCCGAGGTTGGCCCGAGTGCATTCAGGCAGTAGTGGCCACAGCCCTTCTAACTGAAGAAAGTAGAAAAATCACCTTTGGGGGAAGTCTACTTATTAGCACTCCCCGTCAAGTTAGGACAATCTTAAACCAGAAGTGGGTAGATGGCTGACTGATTCCAGGATCCTAAAGTAGGAGGCTATCTGGATAGAAAACGATGACCTGACTCTACTGATGAGGCCCTAAATCCAGCCACTTTCTTGGAAGGGGAAGCAGGAAGGAGGAGACCCACACATAAATGTTTAGATGTTGTTGAATACCAAACAAAAGTGAGGCCAGACCTCAGGGAAACTCCTCTCCAGACCGGGTTCCATTTCTTTGTGGGCGATCCTCTTGGGTAACTGAGGGAAAAAGACATAATGGGTAGGCCTTGGCTAAAGTAGAATCAGGCTGACTCCCTAACAATTGATCAGCACAAACTTGCAAACTGCTGTAAATCAGATTCTTAAAAATCAGCCCACTAAGTTAGTCTTAGAGACCAGATTACCTTGGACTAAATGCCCTCCCACAGCACTACTCAGGATAGGGATGGTCCCTCAGAAGGACATTGGCCTCTCCCTCTATAAAATACTTTATGGGCTTCCTTACCTTAGCCTGTTACTGATGTACCTTCCTTTGAAACCAAAGACTATTTCCTCAAAAATTATATGCTTGGATTGTCCTCTATTTTACTTTGTCACAGGAAAAAAGGATTGTTAGTGTAAGGTACTGCCGAATAAAGACCATGCCACGTGTGGAAAAGAAAGATTTATTAGGAACCAGACCACAGGGCTGTCACTCTCGGGTTCAGAGTGAAGCGGCTTGGCTGGAATGAGTAGTGGGCTTTATAGCAAGGGCCAAGCCATGGGGAAGGGAGAGAGTCTCTGGTCTCTGATTATCTGTGACCACCAGATGGAACAGGTGGACATGCCTGGCTAGTTGAGTAACTGGAAGTTCCTGAGTTATTTTGCAAGCCAAGAAACAATCAGAGAAAAAGCAGGGGAGTTGGGCAAGCAGTCATAAATCAGGAGATCTGATTTCAGTGCTAGCTTTGGGAACTTCCACCCACCCCAAGAAGTCAGAGACCTAACAGTTAGCACAGGCTCTCACTTGACTTTCCCGCTCACCCACACCAGCCTGGCGAGCATGTGCTGATCAAGACCTGGAAAAAAATAAGCTTGAGACAGCTTGGGAAGGACCCTTCCTGGTCCTGCTGACCATGGAAAAAGCTGTCCAGACTACAGAGTGGGGATGGATCATCACACATGGGTAAAGAAGGCACTCATGGACCAGAAGAAACAATGGACCATGCTCTCACATCCAGGTGACACCAAAGTGACTTTAAAAAGACTATAGTGAAAATACTTTCTGTTTCATCTGGGAAGTGGTATTCTTATTATTAATGTAACTCAAAGTAATTTTCCCTTAACTATTGAATTCAATGCACACCAGGTCCTTCCTTGTGGAGGCCTTATGTCCCAACTCCAGCTCTAAGGATATTCCCTTTATATGTGTCCCATCTCGGGACCCACAGGGAAGGTGATACCTTTCCAGAGTGGATGGATGTGGGGTGAAACACTGGGAATAAAGGACACACTTCTCCTTTTTATGACAATCCTAAGACTGGACCAGACCCCAAGGCACTGATTAGACTCCAATTTCCACCATCCAGAACAATCGACAATCTTTTAATGAACTACAGTCAAAATTACAGCTGTTTCAGACAAACCCCTCTCCTACTTGTAAAGATAAACAATGTAACACACTTAGATTAGTCATAGAGAGCCCTCAGAGTATGACAGAAGAACCGTCTATATTTCGTAGATATGGGTTGGGGACAGATGTCTCAGGGACAGACCTGTTAGGTGCCTTTGAGCTCCATCTAGCTCCCAAATGCTCCCAGGTGACACCCAGTTCTACCTCCACTCCAACATTACCTCCATGTTTGCACAACAATCAAACTCAGGTAACCATAGTAGAAGTCAAGACCTAAGACGATCTGTGGCTATTGAAATCAGTAAAGGGATACAACTGCTTGGATGGAATGGAAAAAAATATTCTGTCTACACATTAAAGAAGAGCAATTGCTATACTTGTACTACTGGGAGACTAGAGTCTCAGGTGGTCCCATTTTCATTACGATGGTCCTCAGACCCAGATGGAATGGATTGCATGTTGGCTCTGTTGCAGGATGCCAAGGCTCAGGGCAACAAATCCTACCAGACGCTATCACTACTGTTCCCAGAGGTCAGAGGTCCTGCGGGTCAGCCCCTGAGGACTATTAGGCCACCCGCCCTAGACATCAATTATACCTCGTCTCACCAGACGGAGGGACAATTGACAAATGTGGGAAACCTGACAGGATGCAGTGAAAGCCGGTCCTTCAACAGCCTCACAAACCAGTCCACACTCTCAGTGGGCAGAGCCGATGTCTGGTGGTACTGCAGAGGACCTTTACTTGAGTCTCTCCCAGGTAAGTGGGCAGGCACCTGTGCTTTGGTGCAGTTGGCAATCCCTTTCACCCTAGCATCTAGATCCCCAGCCCGTGCCACAACGTCTAGAAAAAGAAGAGACATAGGCATAGACACTGCACTGCATAGACTCTGATCCGCAGAGGCTCCTTTGTCCCCATGTTTACACTGATGCCATTGGGGTTCCTAGAGGGTGCCAAACAGATTTAAAGCCAGAAATCAAATTGAAGCAGGATTTGAATCAGTACTCTTCTGGTGGTCCACTACAAATAAAAATGTTGACTGTATTAATTATATTTATTATAACCAACAAAGGTTTGTTAACTCTAGCAGAGATGCAATCAAAGGAATAGCAGAGCAACTGGGACCAACTAGCCAGATGGCTTGGGAGAACAGGCTCGCATTAGACAGGTGTTGTGCTCCTGTGTCTGCTCAGCTGGAGTGAGCACATGATCAAAAGAAATTGCCTTGTCAAGATCTTCTGTCTCTCGTGTGTCTGTTTTTGGCACCAGAGTGTCTTTAATTCCAACACTCCCCAGCAATTAAACAAAGAGGAAAGAAAGTTAGTTTAATGAACAGAATAAACTGGCCAGCAGGAAGCTGGCTACACAAAAAATATAGTATAGTTTCTTTTCTTTTGTAGTCTCTGTTACATTTTCTCCACTGTCAATTTATTCCTTCCATTTTTATGGAAAAGGGGTGAAGTAATCATCTAGCTGCTTCCTGCCTTTAGTTAATTCGTGGGCCCAAGTAAGGAGCCAGTGCTCCTCAGCAAAAGCAACTTTTAAGCCCCTGTTACTAACAGACATTCATTTTGCCTTTACAGCAGACTCATGGTCCTAATAGCTACCCATCGTTCATCAATTACATGCCAGACACTTTGGAAATATTTACAACTCTTCAAGTTACACACTTAAACCACATATTAAAAATTAAAGCTAAAGGGCATTAACTTTGCCAAACCCGGATGTGTAAGAATTTGAACCCAATCCTCTCAGTTTCAAGGCCTCATTATTTTTTCTATAGCAGTGTCACTTTCCTACAAAAAACGTCCTCTTTCCCACTGGTAGGTGTTTCCAGAAAGAAGGTATTTTCAAACTGTAAATCAGGTTGAAAATTATGGAATAATTAGCAAAAACTGCATTCTTACAGCAATGAGCCTAGGACCTGAAATCGCTGACACTTCCATGGTTTCATAGGCACTTTTCAAAGAGCCAGCGTCAGAAGCCGGGCGCCAGGTCTATGCCAGTCATCCTGGCGACTCAGGAGACAGAGGATCAAGGTTCAAAGCCAGCCCAGGCAAAAAGTTCAGAAGACCGTATCTTGAAAAAAACCCCATCACAATAAAGGTCTGGTGGAGTGGTTCAAGGTGAAGGCCGTGAGTTCAAACCCCAGTACCTCAAAAAAAAGAAAAGAGCCAGCATTAGGCTGAGGTGGGCCTCACCTCGCCTCAAGCACAACTTTTAAGGAGCTCAAAAAATTCTGTAATTGAGGTAAATACTATTTTTTAAATTAATGCATAAGGCCTATGATGAACAAACTATCAAAACTGTAATTATAGCGAGTCCAGGTACAGGCTCGCGGCCCGACCTGCGTACCAATGCCGGGGCAGCAGTTCTTGCGCAATGACTTCCCTTGCAGATCCGGGGAGGAGACCAGCGGCACTCCCGAAGCTGCCTCCGGAACCGTCGGGCGAAGGAACTTACGTGCCGGGGGAAGGGAATAGGCGGCGGACTCCGCGACGGAAGTCCGGCGGAGGGACCCGCAGTGGTGGGAGGCCGGGTGAACTTCCTGGGGCCCCGCGGATTCTAAGGAAAGGTTCCTGGGGACCCAGATTGGAAGCGCGGAGCGCAGTCAACCATAGCAGGACGGAAATAACAGGAAGCTCAGGGCTTTCGGGCGACCCTCATGAAGGAGGACCGTATGTGAGGTAGTGATGAGCCCTAAAGAGGAAAATAAGGCAGGAAAGGAAGGTATGAAAATGAGGTTTGTCATAAATACGTGTTTATATATAATGCACTTACATATTTATTTTATATGTCTCTGGTCTGCTTGGCACAAGTTCATTTTAAAACTGGAGTCTTCCTAGTGACAAGGGTGTCTTTTGTGTGGCCGGTGGCCGGGGGCTCCTAGACGCCAGAAAGACCAACGTGTGATTAAGTTGGTTAAGTCAGCCCTATTTCCCCACTCCAGTGTTGCCAGAGGTCAGTGTAGCCATCGGGATTCTTGAGTCCAGCAAAAGATTTCAGACAAAATGTGAAATACAATGAAAGTGATGCTGAAACTAGAGTTTTGGACCTCACGCCCAAACTCCTAGGTTTCCACGTCAGGTCCAGCTACTTGCCCCTATAGTCAAATAAAGAGACATGATGAAAGCATGCTGTAGGAAGAGGCAACATAAGCACTCAGCCCATCTTCAGCCATCCTCAGAGTACAGACATGGACTTTAGCTTTAAATCGACAAAGGTTTAGGGCAGGACACAAGGTATGCGTAGATGAATAGTCCCAGTTGCAGGTGTGGCCTGGTTGATCAGGTCTGGAAGTGTTCTGGGGGAGTTGAATCACTGCCGTCACTGGAGGGAAGCAGTCTGTTTCCCAAGACTGATTACTCCTACTCCAGGGTGCAGCCTAATCATTATAGGTAATTACTCTCATTTGGAGAAGCTCTGTCCTGCAGTGCTCCCTGTTCCTTAGGGGTAGTTTTGGTCCCTTGTCATGAAGATGTCTGTCCTTCCTTGACTCCAAGGTGGCTGCAGAAGAGAATGGCTCAGTGCAAAGGACAACAGGTACAAAATGAAGACAGAGATGCTACACTTTTCTCCAGTTTTTAGTTAATTGTGAGTCGAAGACAAGAGTCAGTGCTTTTCAGCAAAAGCAGTATAAGGACCTCTTACAATAGCAAAATGTATTAAGAATAGTAAAGTTTATTAGGATAAAGAGGCATTTTCAGAGATGAAAGAGGGTCATCTCAGAAAGACAAGTGTAGAGCAACACTCAGATCTGCCCAGGCACAGACTTTATTGAAGTTCAAAGGGCTTGAAGCACCAAGTTCCCCTCCAGGACCAGCCTACAGGGAGTGATTGACACGATGACATTGCAAAGAATTATGGCATGCCTCAAGAATCACTCTGCATATGCAACTACCTAAGAAAAAAAACATCTAAAAAACCCCAGGGGTGGAGTGAGAAAATTGAAGAGTATCGGTGAGATGATAGCAGGAAGCTTTCTGAGTAGCCCACCTTGATGGGCTTAGACCAGAACTTGATTTTCATTTGGAACCTGTTGCAGACAGACATCATGATATGTACACTTACTAAAGCAAAATCAGGCCTTCTCTCTTTCAGTAATATTGGGGTGTCTTTTATGTTTGCAGGCATTTTACAAGAATGTGGAGCCAGAGGGCCTAGGTCAAGAAAAATTTCACTTGAAGGATATAAGCCAGTGTGAGAGAGTGGGAGAATAGGGCCCTCAGCATGTGTGCACTGAAGAAAGGATCCTATTTTAGGCTCCCTGTTCATATCCCCATCTCTCATGTCTAACTGCTACCCATCACCAGGAAGAGGGCAGCAGCTGAAGACTGAGTTGATCTGATAATGAGTCATACCTATATAATGAAACCTGTAAAAGCTGAAGACAGGATCTGGAGATCTTTGGGTTATTGATTAAGAATATATTCATCTGCTGGAATGTGGTGTGGTGCAGGATCTTCTATCCCCAGTTTCAACAGGAATAGCAGATTCTGAAATGGGACCCTTCCAGTCCTTGTCCTGTGTATCTCTTCATCCTGATGATATATCCTTTAAAATATCCTTTATAGCCAGATGCTGGTGGCTCATGTCTATAATCATAGCTATTTGGAAGACAGATCAGAAGGATGGTGGTTTAAGGCCAGCCCAGGCAAATAGTTCTTGAGACCCCATCTCCAAAACAACCAGAGTAAAATGAGCTGGAGGTGTAGCTCAAGTGATAGTGCTCCTCCTTTGCACGTACTCAGCCTTGAGTTCAAACACAGTCAGACGAGTAAATAAATAAATAAATATCCTTTGTAATAAATGCATAAACACAAGTTACATCTTTCCCTGAGCTACCATAGCAGATTAATCAAAATGGAGGAGGCGGTGATGAGAACCCCCAGTCTACCTCATTGGTCAGAGGACCGATCACAACATAGGGTTTTCTCCAGGTTTCTGAAGAGCGGCAGTGTTGTGGAACTGAGCCCTCAACTGTGGGATCTGATGTATTTCCAGGTAGATCGTGCAAGAGTTAAGTAAGTCAGCACACCCAAGCTGGTGTTTGCTGGAGAATGCAGGGAAAAACCCTGAGCTTCTGGTGTTAGAAAGTTGTGTTGAGGGACTGTGGTCAGGGAGAGGGAAATCAGGAGATGTGACAGGTCAGAATGGGTGGTATGCAACTTTTAGATGTAATGGCCAGGGTGCCTCTGAGGGCAGCCCTCAGGGAGAAGAGCAAGCTGGCTGTGTAGATTCCAGAACATGCCAAGCAAGTGCATCACATTACATGCCTGGGGCCTTAAAGGACCAGTGAAGAGGACATGCAGTCTGAGCAGACTGGTGAGAGTACAGTAGGAGGTTGGAGGTTAGAGACATGATGGGAGGAAGGTCACATAAGGACCTCTGAAGATATGCTGAGGACTGTGCTTCTGCTCGAAGACAGGTCTCTGTCTCTCTCTCTCTCTCGTACTCTCTCTCTCTCTCACACTCTTCTGTCTCTCCACTTATTCTGGCGTCTTCATTGGGAGTAGACTGAAAAGAGAACAGGTGCAGACCCAGAGATATGCCATGAGGCTTTTGTGTAGAACCAGATGACAGGTGATGGTGGCTTAGGTTGGGGTGCTGATGGTGCTCACAACATAGCTTGCTTTTTGCTTTTTTTTTTTTTTAACTGGGATTGGAACCCCTGTGTTGTGCTTGTCAGGTAGATGATCTCCACTTTAGCCACACCTCCAACCCTTTTTGTTCTGGTTATTCTGAAGATAGGGTCTCCAAATGACCATGGTTTAGTAACATGGCAGCCTTGGGACCTTGATAAGAACAGTTTCTGTAGAGAAGTGGGGGTGAAAATCTTACAGGGTGAATTCAAGCAATGTTATTGTAAAGGAGGAAAAGATAAAAAGCAGTAGCTAGAGGAAGAAAGAAAATCGAGAGAGTTTTTTTGGTTCATTGGTTTGGTTTGATGTTTCTGTTTGTATGCTGATGGAAGGTCCAACAGAGATAAAAAGTGGTGATGCAGGAGAGAAAAGGGAAGATTCTTGAAGGGGTGTTCCCATGGTTTACATGTTGGTCCCATCCCCAACTCATGTTGAACTTTAATCCCCAGTACAGCGTGAGGCAGGGCCTAATGAGAGGTGTTTAGATCATGGATCAATGCCGCTGTCCTGGGAATGGGCTCCTGATAAAGGATGAATTCCAGCCCTTCTCTGCCCAGTCCTGTTCGCTCTCACCTCCCTTGTACCTGTGGTCTCTCATCATGTGCTACTTTCTGCTGTGTTACGACACAGCCAGGTGTAGTCTTTGATCTTGGATTTCCAGTCTCCAGAACCATGAGCCAAATAAATTTCCTGTGCATGGTGTTCTGTTACAGCAGTACAAAGCAGATATCACATACGTCTTTAAGTAAAAGATAAGGGGATGGAACTTAAGGCCCGTGCGCATCCCAGACAGGTGTCAGTGACACTAGGAGAGAAGGATGGATGTGGGTATAAGTGAAGGACAGGCACAGTGGTGGTGAGAACTTGGGAAAGTTCTCTTCCAATGTCTTGGCTTTCTGCAATGAGGTAGGAAGCTGCATCTCCACAAGAGAGTGAGACCTTTGGAAATAAAGTCATGAATGAAGGGCTCAGAGGGAGAGGAAGTTCTTGGTCAGTGGGTGCTGTGTTGCAGGTGGCTAGGAGCAAGAAGTTCAGGTGTGAGCTGGGCGCTATGACCCACACCTGTAATCCCAGCTTACGCCTGATCCTCCTGGCAGAGGTCAGGAGGCCTGGGGAAACAGTTTGCAAGACCCTATCTTGAAAATACCCTACATGAAAAAGGGCTGGTGGAGTGGCTCAAGGTGTAGGTCCTGAGTTTAAGCTCTATTAATGCAAAAAGATAAAATAACAGAGGTTTAGGTGTGCTATTGCAGTCAGGTGACTGGTAACAATAGTATACTGTACATTTCTAGAAGAAAGGACTTTGAAATTTTCACTATAAAGAGATGACGTTTGAGGAGATGGCTATGTTTAACTGATTTAAACATTATGTAATTTATATTTGTATCAAAACATTACTTGCCCCCCATTAATATATATGGTGCACTGTGTTTCATGTACCAGTTAAAAATAAATTTAAAAAGAATGAAAAGGTCACTCACAGATTGGAACTACTGGTCTGAGCACCCCCTGAGATTAGTGATCAGAAATTCAGCTTTTTTTTTTGGCACTACTGGGGCTGGAACTCAAGGCTTCACACTTGCTAGGCAGGTGTTCTACCACTTGAGCCATTCTGCCATTCCAGAAATTCAGCTTTTTGTCTGACATCTTAGTGAGGCCACAGTTGTCACTGCTTCTCTCCACACTTCAGAGTACTGTCCAAGGATGACAAGAAGGAGAAAGATGCCAGAAAGTGGGCCAAGAAAGGCAAAGACACAGTGAGTAAGCCTGGAGGCAAGGCCAAAAGAGAAGTGACCAAGGTCAAACTCAGTAACGTAGTCCTGATGGACAGACTACTACTGGCAAGCTGTAAGGATGTTCACAACTCTGAGCTCAGCAGCCTGCTGTGGTCTCCGAGAGTGAAGAGTTGCGGTTCCCTGGCTAGGGCCGTCCTTAGGGAACGACTCATTAGTTTAATTGCAGAGCATAGACGCTGGACTGGGACGGTGCTCAGTGACAGCATGTATCACACACAAGGCCCTGGGCTGCATCCCCAGCACTGAAAAGAAGCCCAGAGCCCAGCTAATTGACCCAGAAAGACCAAGGGCACAGAGTGCATCATCACTTCCCGTCTCTACTGGACCATGGATGTCAGCATACAAACAGAAACATCAATCCAAATCAATAAACCAACAAATAAACAAAAAACACTCTCTTAAAGGTGAAGATGTACCAATAGGTCCAACCAACTGCTTATTTGGAAAAATAAAACTTTATCAAACAAAAAGAAGAAATTTAAGCAAGACTGATTGGCCGTGGTTGTGTTTACTCGGCCAAGGTCATTTGCACAGGCATGTTGCTGAGTAAGCAGAGTTGGATCCAAGCAGTACTGGACATCAGCCCAGCAACGTGAGGCAGCAAGGGTGACGGCTGCAGATTCCTGTTATAAACAGGCGCTTTTCAACAGAAGGGCAGTCAGGTTTTTAAAATTTTTGCTTCAAGTTGTGCGTGTGTAGTAACGCATGCTTACGATCTCAGCACTCAAGAAGCAGGCTTGTAGGTCTCAGGCCAGCCTGGGTAACATAGTGAGACCTATCTCAAAAATAAAAAGAAAAAACTTTTTACCAGGTGTCTTATATAATATTTTTTCAGATCCTGGGGTGTCTCTACTCCCTGAAGTAACGAGGTGACCATTCCCGTACACAGGACTGGGCAGTCATATAAGTAGCAATAGTTGAGTACTCATATTTAACTCTTAGCTCTTAGCAAGCTCTTATCTCTAATTAAAAAATAGAAATTAAAAATAAAGGGCTTAACTATTTTATCTGAATGAACTCTTCCACAGAGTTGCTGTTATGACTTTGGACACATCTTCTCCAGTGCTGACTGAATTTATTCTGGGCAGAAACTCCAAATCCTGCTGCTGCTGCAGGTGAGTGAGCCTCACCTTCACCATTCAGGATGGATAGACAGAAGGCAAATGATACACATAGAGAAGCACATGCTGTGCACCACCTCGTATGACTGCAGTCACCAGTGTCACAATGTCATTATTTCGGCTTACTGGTATTTTTTAAGATGTACTTAGGGCTAGCACTTTCTTATTATAATTATCCCCCAAATATTACTAGCTATGAACATTAGCATCTCAGTAGGTGTATACTTTTTTATATGAAAGCCATTGAGTGGCATTTCATTTCATTGAGTGTTTATTTTGGTCCTAAATAGCTTAGTTAACCATTATTTAGTGTGTTTTTCTAGGCAAACAATTTCAAAAAATAATGGCAGTATTTACAATTGTTGTACCTTTCATTTCCTTCTGCTTCTGTATGTGCAGGACGGCATATCTAGAACGATGGTGCCTGACAGCCGTGATACGTCCTGGTCTGCTTCTGTTAAAGTGAGGCCTATAGAACTGTAACCTGAAAATTATGCTGACATATGTATCTATGAAATAAGTTATAGCATACAAAGACAAAAAACATCAAAATCTGTATTATGTATTTGGAAAAGGAGGTGTCTGGCTGGGCACCAGTGGCTCACGTCTGTAATCCTAGTTACTCAGGAAGCAGAGATCAGAAGGGTCATGGTTCGAAGCCAGCCCAGGCTGACCCTATCTTGAAAAAACCCATCACAAAAAAGGGCTGGTAGAGTGGCTCAAGGTGTAGGCCCTGAGTTCAACCCCAGTGCCACAAAACAAAAATGAAGAAAAGGAAGTGTCTATGCAAATAAAATAACAAAGGTGAGGGTGGCTCCAGTTCCTTAAGAAAAAGAGATCACAGGGCATTCTCCAGAGAAGTAAATTTCGTTGGTTTATTAAGCATCTATTATGGATAGATTCTCTTAAATTTATAGCCAGTTGCTCAACCTTGGCCTATTGACATTTGGAGACAGATGATCCTTGTTGAGGGAGCTGTCCAGTGCATGGTAGGAAGCTTAGCAGCTTCTCTGACTTTTTCCCATTAGATGCCACCAGCAGTCCCCAGTAGTGACAAGCAAAAGTTTCTCTAGACGGTAGCAAATGTCCCTGGGAAGGGGTAGCACAGTTCCCACAGTGGAGAGTCACTTTGTCACTTGACCCTTGCTAATGATCATCAAGACATGGGGAGAATCCACACTTGCCTTCATTAGGGAGGAGACACTGCCTTAGGCCAGTGGGGAGGAGTCAGGGCCGTGAGCTTATCAGGCTGCTGTATCTCTGGATCTGACCACGTGGAACTTCAAATAAGAAACTAAATATTTCTCAGTGAGGGGAGAAAGTAGCATAGGAAACTCTGTGTGTGCGCGCACGCGTGCATGCATCGTGCATGCTGGGGCTGGAACCCAGGTCTCTCGTAGGCTAGGCAAGCACTCCATCACTGAGCAGTGCTCCTAGCCCTGCTAGGAAATTGAAGTTTCCAAATTGTTGGTTGGTGTGATGGCTAATTTCATGTGTCAACTCAGGCTGTGGTAACCCAGTTTTTGGTCAAACAGTAGTATAGATGTTTCTCAAAGGTGTTTTTCAAATGAGGTTAACATTTAAACCAGTAGATTATGAGTAAAGCTTCCTATCAGCTGAAGGCCATGAGAGGAAGGAAGAGGCATTCTGCTTCTACAAAGCAGAATAAGGGGCAAGAAAGTGGGTTCTCTGGGTTCAAGGCTGCAGAGCCAGCTCCCTCCTGAGAACAGCCTCCTGCTTAGGCCTGTGATGGTAGACTTGCCAGCTCCACAACCCTCCCAGCAAACTCCTTAACATAAACCAGTTTCTTTCCCTCCATCTCTCTTTCTTACACACACACACACACACACACACACACACACACACACACACACACACACCACTTAATTGGTTCTGTTTCTTTTGAGATTGCTTATTATTGTAGTTGGTTTTACTTGTAACAGAGTGTGCTTTAAGTCAAATCAACTAGATTTCCAAAGAAGTACCTCTGGGATACTCATTAATACCCTTGTGATTGGCCAGCTGCAATATCAATGAGGGCTGTTACACAGTGGAGTGTGTAAAGATCAAACTGCCGTATAAGGCATCATCTGGATGGCTTCGGGAAGGACTATCAGAGTTCTACAAGGGTACGTGAGAGCGCGAAAGAAGAGGCTCACCTGGAGCCATCCTCAGCACCAGCCACAGATCAAATTGTGGCAAAAAAACCTTAGGACAGAAAGCTTGCTGACTCCTAAAGGCCTAGAAAGTCAGCAAACAAAGCACAGATGGCTGGCAAAGGACTCAGTGTGGGTGTGCATGGTGCCGCCCACATGGGCGTACTTCCAGGTCATGTTGAGAACTTTTGGATGGACCAGAATCCCCGGAGACTGGGCTGAAACACAGATGGCTGGGCCCCACCCATAGGGTTTCAGGTTCATTAGGTCTGGGATGGACTCTGAGAATGGGCATTTCAGGTGCCCGGGCAGTACGGTGCTCTGGTCCACGGCCGCTATTGGAGAACCAGGGCTGCTGGGAAGCACCAAAGAGGACGGGATGAGGGGCGATGCACTCACCAGAGCCCTCATCTAAATCATTCAATGCAACACACATTCACTGAGCACTGCTAACTACCAGCACCAGGTAGGTGCTCAGTGCATTGAAAATATGGACGCCACCCCTGCCTTCTGCAACTCATTAGCCTTACTAATGAGAGGAAATCCAGACTGCTACAAAACTATTGGACGTATACCACCCTCCAAAGCCTGGCATCTACATACAACATCAGCGCTGCCCCCCACCTCCTCCTTCATGCTTTGTGACTTAATATTAAAATGCTCACCCTTCCCAAGCTTATCATGACTGATTACACCCACACCTTCTTTCTGTCTCTGCACATCTTAATTAAAGCTTTGAACTCAAAAGGGAACCCAGACTTTTCTTTAACCACTAGCCTGGAACATTCCAGATGCAAATGCACAGCAATACCACATCTTTTTGCATGTCGTTAGGCACACTTCTCCTTCCTGTGGTCCGAAGGCCCCATGTGGAGGGAGTGCCCCAGTAGCATTCCTGCTGCCCTTCGCCCTGCTCTCCCGTGAAGGACAGCTTTCCCGAGGGGCGAGATGGCAGAAGGAATAGGAGTTCTCCACTTGATGGTGCCTGCTCTCTCTAGTCCAGTTGTCAGTGCCAAAGAACAATGTCCTATAAAGTGAAGGTGTAGGATGCCCACTGTGGCCACACATTCCGCCTTCACAAGGGACCATTAAGCAGGTTCTTGTTTTTTTATTTTTATTTTTTGGTGGCACTGGGGTGAACTCAGGGCCTCATACTTGCTAGGCAGACACTCTACCACTTGAGTCACTCTGCCAGCCCTTTTTTGGGTTGTGTATTTTCGAGATAGGGTCCCAGCTATTTGTCCAGGTTGATCTCAAACCTCAATCCTCCTGATCACTGCCTCCTGAATAGCTAGTGTTACAGGTATGAGCCACCAGTGCCTGGAAAGCATGTTCTTTTGATGTCTGTCTGATGCCATTCCTGACCTCTACATTAGATCCCAATTTAGGCTGGGAGGAGAAAGTTACTTCATGGGTCTCTTTACCACCAACATAAATGATGTATTATTAGCCCATTATACAGCTATTAAGCTCAGTAAAGACTACATCATAATCATTTTTGTACATTCAAGAAAAACGTATTGCTCTAGAGGCATGGAATGATGAGAACACACCTACTGTGCACAAAGCCCTGGATTCAAACCCCAGTACCACCAAAAACCAACCAAACAAAAGGACTGGGTGTGTGAGACCCTAGGCTCAATCCTCAGTACCACTGTTGCAGGAATCTCAAACTGAGATACCCAACACTGAGGCAGTTTAGCAGGAGGCAATGTTTTATTGTGCCGGCACAGACTCAGTGGACTCGTGTCCAAAGGCTGAGCCCTGAAAACAAAGGGGTCTCACCTTCTATACCCTTGCAAGCAGGTTACAGAAGCAAAAAGCAAGGTCTAATCCACATATGGTTATATTCAATTCTATAGGCTACTTTACCCTAGTGCTACGTGACTTTCCCCCTCCCCAGTGCTATGAGATCCTCTCCACATTCAGATTCCTCAGGTTTTATCTGCTGTGCCATCCCTACCTCCCTGCTGCTTTATCAAAACTCAGGCCTAGTCTGTTTTCTTCTGATCCTCCTCCCTGCTACATCACCGAATAGAATAAAATAGAATAAAACAAAAAAAAAAGAAAACTACATTGCATACCTGCTATATGCGAAGCAGGGCGTCAGTCACTGAGAACGCTGCACTGACTGAAACCAATAGCACTGCATGCCTGCTGAAGCTGTGGTGTGGCTAATGACGGGGGGCGAGGGACGGGGAAGACAGTGGGTAAACAGAACCTACAGTGTGTCTCGTGCAGCCAGTGTTACTGGACGGACAGTGCTGGAGGAAGGATCACAGTTTGTGGGGAGAGGTCAGGGAAGAGCTCACTAATCTGTTTGAGAAAGCAGCCAGGAGCCCAGGGAGATGGGACAAGATGAATGTGGAAGGGTGAAGAAGGAAATGAGGTGAAAGGAAGTTCAGCTCTCACACGGGAAGCCAGTGGCAGGAGTGTTTACATGTTGTGACAAAGATTTTAGAATTTTAAAACCAAAATTAGGGCCCTTGAACATTTTCAATACATTAATTAATGGCCTAATCTTCTGTAAGAAAGTCCTATTTACAGAGTTATTTACTTTTAAAACATGTCATTTATTTGTTTGCTCTTCTGTCCTTTGTCCATTCCTTGCTATGGCTGGCACGTGGTTTGACCTCAAAGGTGTTTGTGTTGGAGGTTGGCCCTCAGTGGTAGCAATGTGGCAGTGGAACTTATTGGGAACTTAAGTAAGTGGACTTACTGGGAAGTCCTTAGGTCTCTGGGGACGTGCCCTGAAAAGGGATTAGGCAGTTCTCCACAGTTTCTGAAAGTGAGTTGTTACAGGAGCAGGCTGACTCCTGAGTTGCTCTCTGGCTTCCTGTTTTCAGATGTGACCCTTTCCTCCCTGGAATGTTTCTGTCATGAAGTCATTCATTAGGCCTTTGCCGGTGGCTGGACCACTGGGACTGCCTAATCTTGGACTTTTAGCCTCCAAACTTCTTTTCTTTATAAAATTATCCTCCTTATGTATTACAGTAACCCAAAACTGACAAATACATTCCTTTAGTCAATGCCTCACACACTCTTGTGGGCTCTGGGATTGCAAAGAACAAGACCCAATTCCGAATCTCACAAACTTCCAGTCTAGTGGAGGAAACTGATAGTCTTTATAAACACATGCTCGGAAGCTGTACATATTTGTGTGTATTGTGAGCACAATTTTGTGTTCTACATCTTTCTCCTTAGCATTTTGTTACATACACTTAAGGTTTACACGATGTGTAACAGTTCATCTTTTTCAGCAATCTGAATAATTTTTAATGAAAATTAAAATACTGTCAAGGGAGTCTGGATGAATGTTACCTTTTACTTAATCACGTACCTACTCCAGCTACTTACACCCCACGTCTAGCTGTTAGACACACTATTTCTGCTGTGGCCATCTGTTGCCTCCATATGAGTTGCCAAATTCGTATGTGACGTGACTCAGAGTCAGCAGGGAAGACAGTGTTTTGGTTGCCTGACTCTACCTTCTAAGAAGAGCTGCAGACACACAGGGAGTCCAGCTCT